ACTAGAGCACTTTTGTTGTAATTATGCGAACCGTTGTCGCAGTGAAAATTCATTGGACAATGTCGTCTCTGGGAAACTCCTGAGATCGTTTCGTAGATATATTTTAAAGAAACCATTTTAATATTTCCGCGTCTCTTGTGTACGTACAATTAAGTTATTATAGTGACGTTTTCATGTTGGTTCGAGTGAATTAAATACACGGTTCATATCTTGGGTGGATCAATTCTCGGATTGTATTTCTCTGAAGACAAAATTCTGAGGGAATCAAATCCGGTTATTTTAATTCAAAAACTAAACTACTGAACCGATTTCGATTATTTTGTTATGAGACCAGTAGGAAAATATATCGTTTTAGATTTAAAATGAATTTTCTAAATCGATCTATAAATAACGAGGCTATGAAATAACGAACATAAAAAATACAATTGAATTGAGACCCTACTTTTTAAATATGCTTGGGCACCTGTATTCCATTCGTATTTTTGCCATCAAATGTCTGTACTTGCATGGATATATTTCAGTACGTACTTATTGTGGAATATAGCAGTGAAATTCTAGGTTACGCTGTGTACTGTTTACAGGCGACGATTACCTCTTCCCATCAGATGATCCATCAACTTATTTAATATTACAATTTATTTTTTATAATACAAATGTGGTGAAAAGTATACAGCTCGTCTAATGATGAACGGTCATTTTGAATAGTTGCACAAAAATATTACAACAATTTATTTTTAATTACTAATTTAAGGATTTATTGCGCATGTATGCGCAATCTGGTCTCATTTGCGCACCTCGATTTCGTGGGTGCCACTCGGAAATGCACTAGATATTATGTAAAATGATTCAGAATCTCACACGATCATTGTTTTAGAAACACCTGGAAAAGAGGTCTGTGTAGTAAACGACAAGCGATTTAGAGATATATAATTAAAAATTCAAGATTAGGTAATTAAGAACAAACTAGTCTTTACCCGCGACTTCTGTATGATCGGGTATATTGTTGAATGAATATAAAAAGTTGCCTATGTTCTTCTTCAATGTAAATAGTATCGTAACGATTGATTGACACATTAAGATGCCAAGACGTAACAAATAAACAAACAAACTCGCTTTCATATTTATAATAAGGATATAAAAGGTATACACTTGATATAAAAACGGTTTAAAGATTGTTAATAAATATACTAACAGTATAATAAAAAAAAGTTTGTATTTAATGTATTAGGAATTTTTGTATGAAGACACGTTTACCATTTCTACACTAACACTAACCCCTTTATTCATAAAAAAAAAAAACCTACAAACCTATTTTAACTATTACATTGTTTTGTCCCTTTCTTTCAAATTAGAAATTTACTAAAACGAAAAACAAAACAGTTGAATAGCTAAAATAGGTTTATGAATACGGGAGTAGATCTTTTAAATGTATGATAATGAAATAAAAGCCTGCTCAGCTTAAGCAGGGTATTGGTATACTTTAGTGAGGTGCCACCATAACATGATAGATGAGAATGAAAGTAAGTCTGTTAGCATTATTAATTCATAATACGGATGTTATTAGTGGTTTGATAATCCGATATAATAGTCCGAAATTATTAAAATCTTGACAAGTTTAATTAATCTGAAAGGTGAGATGAGACCTAGTAATATACTTTGATACGTCGACCTCTGTCCCATTCGTGTTTCAACCGTAAAGCAGTTGTAATTGAATGGCCGTGTTTCGGTTTAAAGGGTGGGATATGGCGTGGATTTACAGGGTACAGAAGAATAACACCTGAGTCCTCAGGAATGACAACGCATGGGGGGTATTATGGGTGAAACAGTATACTCTGTTATGTCCATGGTATTGCTCATACCACTTTCCATCAGGTGGGCCGTCAGCTTGTTTGCCATTTTAAGTTATATAAAAAAATGGAGTCACGATAAACTTGATTTAATCCATCGTGAATCTATTCTTGTTCTCTCACTGGACTTGATTCCTCATCTACCTTCTAAATGTATTGTATTATATTGTATTAGCCGTCTGTCCACTGCTGAACATAGGATTCCCCTTTGGGGAGTTTTGCCAGCAGTTGCCACACTTAGCAGGGTTGGTGTTGTTTTAAGAGGGACGCTGCTGTCCATCTCACGATCATTAAATCCCCTTGGTGCCACGACACCCATGGGACAATAAAGGGTGGTCCGTACTATGTCGAGACCACACAGCGTTACCATACCAATGTCACCCGATAAAAACTCTCATCGCTTATAACTTAAACGCCACCCAATATAAATAATTACACACCTGTACACGGAAGAGCTATGTTTTTACCACGACCGACGCACGTTACGACAAAATCTATTGTTTTATCACTTGATAATGCAGACAAAAATTGCTCCTAACGATAAGCTCTAAATGACAGACGACTTAATATTATCCATAGGTTTTGCAATAATTACTAAAAAAAAAACAATTATTGTAATAATTATAATATTGTTTTCTCACTATGATTATTTCTTTTGATTGTTTGCATCTATAATAAGTTTACTATTGTAATCTTTTGGAGTAAACAATAAAGAGTATCTATCTATCTATCCATCTAATATATCATCATATCGGTCGTTAACTATCCGCTGCTGTGCATAAGCCTCCCCTTATTGGAAGGTTTTGCCAGTATTTGTCACGCTTGGCAGGTTAGTTGGCAATCGCAGTTAGGCTTTGGTGATTTGCCTAGCCCCTTTACCATTGAGCTCTTTTAGTCGCCTCTTTAAATACCCATGGGGAAGGAAATGGTTGCCTATTCTATGGCGGAACCACATGACTTATCAGCTTCTATAGATGATATGTATATGAGAAATACAATAGAATAATTTCTACACATGTACACCATATTTTTTCCTTTTTTTTATAGAACAGAATGGCAAACAAGCTGACGGCCCACCTGATGGAAAGTGGTAACCGTCGCCTATAGATACGAGCAGTACCATGGACATAACAGAGTATACTGTTTCACCCATGATACCCCCCATGCGTTGCCATTTCTGAGGACTCAGGTGTTATTCCTTTGTACCCTGTAAATTCACGCCATATCCCACCCTTCAAACCGAAACACACCCTTGCAAATACAACTGCTTTACGGTTGAAACACGAATGGGACAGAGGTACCCAAGCAAACGATTTTTGTACAGTCTCCCTCTGGTATTATATCGTATTAATAAAGTCACTAACGTCCATCCATATCATCATCATATTAGCCTTTAACTAACTACTGCTGAACATAAGTCTCCCCTTTGGGGGTTTTACCAGTAGTTGCCACGATTGGCAAACGGGTTGGCAATCACAATTAGGCCTTGGTGATGTTTCAAGAGGGACGCTGTTGGCCATCCCTCGACCATTGAGTTCCTTTAGTCGCCTATTACGACAATCACAGGAAAGAAGGGGGAAAGGGATTGTTAGTAATGGAGACAGATAATCCCATTGCTAACAACATACCTAACCAGGTCGACCGCCTCGCGGTTCCCCCTGGAAACTATCATGGTTAATTCCTGATGAATTCATCATGATGGGCCAACTGGCCTGTTTTCATTCTCATCTATCACCCTTCTCTGGTGCTCCGCCAGCGTAATCCATTAGCGCAGGCGGGGTTACCATATCATTTTTACTCATCAAAAAAAAATCATAGGAAAGGAAAAAGTGGTCCATTATACGCCGAGATCACGGCATGGATAATATATTGATGACAATATAAATTTAAGTCTTTATTGATTTTTAACTAACTTTTACTCGCGACTTCATCTGCGTAACGTGGGATGTTCACTGTCTGGGATAAAATGTAAGCTATGTCCTTCTCCATCACATATAGTAATGTACTTATTTATATAAAATTTCATAGTGATTGGTTACTTAAACCGCTAAAGCGCTAAGAGGTAACAAAAAAATATTTTAATTTTTATAATACTTGTAAAGGTACAAATGTATAAAAAAATAGTTAAATAGGATTTTGTAAAAATGAAAAAAGTATTAAAAAGAAACCAACGTTTTATTTTTATGCGACAATTACCTAACAAACAGACTAACGTCGACCATAAAATGATTGAGTTCACTTCCAATGCTTAATTTTAGTTACTATAGTGAATTTTTTTTTTCTATAACCAGTTTTGGCGAAAAATTCTCAATGCATAAACTTTTTGAGTTACAATTTTATTGTTGTACCTAAATATAAACATTCTATACCTACTATATGTATAAGTAAATATGTTATGACTTGTAACGTCTAGATATTTTACAAAACATTTATTATTGACAAACTTTTCAAAGACGCCCTATGCAGTATAATAATCGCAAACAATATCTCGATGATTGATTGGCCAACCACAACCTTCGTATTCATCAAAAGATTGTGTTAATTCATTGTCTAATGTATTTCGAATCATGAATTCTTGTTGTTGAAACTTCGCCTTTCTTTTGCACTAATTCTAAAAGAAAGCCAGTGAAAGTGATATAATTGTAACACCCATTCAATTTTAAAGGTTTAAGTAAATTGTTCAAAATGATGTATTTAATGGATGTAGTATTAAATTGAGTCTAGCTGTTAACACGTGAAGTCGATAGAGTAAATTACATATATTTGATTTGAAGGCGATAACTGAATTGACTCGTTCGACACGATTTCGCTCTATTTGTGTTATCAATAAAAGTAGTGGTAGGTACATGGAAAAACTTGAATACGTACACATAGTTAGATACATGTTGTATTGTGACTATCTACTATATTTAAATAAATTTGGTTATTGAATATGCTAACAAATTTCTTGTAATCGAATTACATAACCTCCATTTTTGAAGTAATTTAACATCAAATCTAGTTTAAAAAGAAATAAATGGAATTATAATTTATACAAGTAATGTATACTTAAAATTAATAAAATAGACAACGATTTCATTATTTTAAAAATATCAAATTCCCTATTATTACAAAATTTTACGTGAAGTTATAATGCAGTCTTTTTTGTTACAGATTAACAATGACGGTGAAAAAAACAAATCGTTCCGGTGGCCTCGCCGCAATAGTGGCGAGACAGAAGCTCCACAATGCTAACCAGCAGCTTGACATCATGGCCATCACAAAACCTCTGCCGCAGCAGAACTACAACATTATTGTAGGCTTCAATGAGAAAGATCAACTACAACTGCTTAATAAAGAGGAAACTAATGAAGATGATAAACAAAAATTAATCAAAGACTACACTGAACTCAAAGCCAGCAAATATGAGAATATCTCCATAGACGACATAACGAATTGTGCAAATATCGAGAGCTATCCAAATTGTGAGAAAACTCTAGTCTTTTACATAACCAAAAATCTTAATAAAGAGGCGATAGCTCTAAAATTCGAAAACGAACAAGATTTCAAAAGGATATACTTCACATATAAGTATTTTAAAATGCGAAATCGCTTGACGAAAAACACAAATAACTATTCTACTGGCGATAGTTTGTTTTCTAAGAAGAAAACGTACGATTTGTTTAAAAATAGAAAAAATAGTGTTGATGATTACAGTCTATACGATAAAGGGCGGGCAAATTTTGATTTGATGCAAACAACTGATAATGATGGAGTAACTCATATATCTGTACAACATAAAGGACTAAATTCTCGTTTCGATCAACCCATGAGTCTGATTGGAATAAGAAGTGACATAGCTGATGCTGGTGAAATAGACAGTATAATATACACTGACACAGAAATTCCTACGAAACCCGAGAGGAAAAGACTGTTTCATAAAAAGACAAAGGCGCCACCTCCTCCTTTGATTATGAAAGAAACTCAGCCCAAAGTACTTAAGGGTGAATTTGTAAGAGTAAATGTTGATAGATCACCAGATGTGATCCCAAGGGACAATAGACTGAATAAAATACCAGATATTCTTATGTTTAGAGAGAATAAACCAAAATGGAGTAGTCCAACCAGCAATTTGTGGTCAGCGAGCAATAAAGGTGAGTTAAAGACTTGTTATATTGTTTAATGAATTCAGCTTATATAATTTGGTTACAAATATGCGTAATATGAAAAAAAATGTATGAATTGTAAACATTCTATATTATGTAGAGCACTAACTAAAGCCATCTAGAACTCAGTAATAAGATATTGTTAAGGTAATTTTAAAAAAGAAACATTAGTAACTTTTTGCATTTTGTTTAAAAATTTAATTCCAAATTACATATAATGTAATAATTAACATTTAAATACATAATAAATCTTAAAACAATCATATAAGTTTCCAATAGCATGAAATATAATAACATAATAGTGAGGAATTAAATAACATACGTAAACATAATTTGTAGCAAAATGCTTAGGTGCAATTTAAAAACTATATAATTCAAGAGAATAAATGAAGAAAACGAAACAATAAGACATGAACTTTCAAATGGTCCTACTACCGTCCTAGCTTCTGTAATATCAAAAACAATAGGTATTGAAGTAGTTTTAAATAGTTAATAAATTATCTAACCGATCACCGCATATAAATTTAATGACCCATTGTCATATTTAATTAATGTTTTTACATTAAATATGTTCGTATGTTTTTAAAATACTATTCATATTTTCTTTAATGTACTAGTAAAGGTTACTTTTAGCTGGAGTTAAGCAGGCAAATTTTAGAAATTCTAAATTAGTCTTAAATTAGAAAAAATCATCATCGTCATCATCTCAGCCATTATCTGTCCACTGTAGAACATAGACCTTCCCCATAAACTACCATAAGGAACTTAGAAGAATACTTGTTTAAGCTTTCTAAACACAAGCACTACAAATTTTTAATCGGGAAATTGAAGGAAGCTGAGTTTTGCACTCTAGTTAAAAATTTATACTTAGGTATTGAAACTCTTTAAATGAAAAATATATGACAATGTGGCGGTAAAATTACAGACTATGGAAGCATTTATTTATTTAAATTTTATAGACAAATAAAATTTGGTTCAAAAGGCTTACTCTAAGGACTTAATACTATACGCATTCTCTACTAGTCAACCTTTAACTTTTAAACTTTTTAGGCATAACAACATAGTCCTCATGAATAACAGTATATGAGGGGTGCCATGGGTATTAAAGATTATTCTGTAATGTCAGTCGTACTGTTCATGTACATAGTTCTCGTTCCTTCAAGTGAGCTGTCAGTTCGTTTGACATGCTAAGTATCATAAAGAAAACATATGAAATAAAAACAAATGCGAAATGATTACAACACTAATCGCAAACAGATTATGATCTTAATAGTTCAAAACGTCTTCGCGTGCATTTAAAATACGCAACCTTGGAAACAGGTGTAGGATTTTCATCGCAAATCAATTTAACGGTTTTACTAAATACCTCGTCTAAAATGTATCAGTACCAAGGCCACGACGGTCATTGCGTAACGGTCATTCACATGGTCCAGTAAACAATGGCTGCTTTGCATGGACGTCAAGCTGCGTCATTATGCTTATACACGACTCGTCTTGTATAGATTATGCTGGACATATTGATCGGGATTTTAGAGACTTGCACTAGCTTTTTCCACCTGCCAGTAGTGACTAAGCTTGGCAGGCGGATTGACAACCGCAGTTAAGTTTTTGGTAATCTTAGCGAGGACGGGACGCCTTAAATACTGTACCGCAAACCATAAAAAAAGACCATTTCTCTCTCGACTATTAATTTCCCCTAGCTATCTCTTACGACACCCATGGGAAAGAAAGAAGTAGCCAATTCTGTGCCTGGACCACACGGCACCCGAACATCTTATTCCTGATATTCTTGATCTAAGATAATCGAACTCAAATAATTTTTAAATAATGAGATCTGTTAGTCAGATTTTAATAAACCTGTTAACTTATAGCGTACTCATTTTAGCGCTTTAGATATTTATCCAGCTACCGGTCCTAGTTCGAGAACTGCTAATAAACCTCTCATAATAGCTGATTGCAGTAATTCGTTTGCAAATCACCGTATAGTCGGTGCAGCGCTTCTGCAAGACTTATTGAATGACAACAATAGGAAATAATCATGAAATATTTCATCTAAGCAATAACAACAACAATGGTCAGCGTGATATTACAAGGTATAAGGCGCTTGTGCAATACGACACCTACCATTCACCCAGGAAAAGCTAGAAATATTGTCTAGACACAATGAAAATACTTTTGTATCTAATGTTTCTTTCAGAGCTTAGGTTATAATGAGATATAATTTGATAATAAATTTTAATGTGCGGAGCAAATTACTGTCTTGATTTTAAACGGAGAAAATAGCACAAATTATTACAAGTAAAATATTAAAAATAAAATTAATAAATGTGCTCGCAATTATAATCTGTGATGGAATAGTCCAAGCCATTTGTAGACTGTTGTCGTTGCGGTGAACGTAACGTTTTACATATGCACATTTTGTTGAGCACAGGATCCAGGGTTGCAGCGAGTTTATTGCAGTAACATGAATTAATTTGGTTTGTAATCTTTGAAAATTTACTAGAATTATTAAAAGTGACATAAAAAAATTTTGTTTCGGCCAGTTTCCAATTCAAGATTTTTGATGTTTATAAATCGAGGTAGTACATCACTGGGCCTGACGCTCTAGTCTGTGTACCTGATCATGATCTTGACTATGACATATCGTGGTATCATACATTAATACCAATAATACATTTATTATTTAAAAGACGGTTGACGTCAGGCCGTGTCAGGTGGCCGGTCGTAAAATTAAAAAACCAAATCTTTTTGTAATATGGATAAAATCATATTACGCCGACCCCAAATGATTGGAATAAGGGTAGGAAGATGATGATTTAAGTAGAAACAATCTAGTGTGTAGCACAAACTACAGATAAGTATTTAGCGCTATTGCGTCTATTGACAGTTTTATAGGTTTTTTAATTCAAGTAGAGTTTGTTCTACAAAAACAATATTAGGAATTTCAAAATTTAAAATAGAAGGTATTATTGTTTTATATTTCAAATCTCGTTCTTATCCCTATTTATTTCGAGTACCAGTCAGTCCAAAGTGTTCTACAGTATCGACCTCATACAAATTTTATCAAAATTGTTTTTATTGGTCGAAAATTTAAAATTAGTGTTCTAAGAAATTCTTGATTCATACCTGTGAAAGCACTATTGGTCATACGAGTATATGCCTATAACTTTTGACAATATTGTGTTGAAACGACGCTGGACGGATGTTTGCTCAACTCTCACTGCGGTTTTGTTGAGAGTGTTAAGTTTTAAAAAGGGAAATTCACATCCTATACTTTATTTGCACAGTTATATTAACGAACTATATATACCCCGCGGTTTTGTGTGAATTATAATAGAGATTAAATCTGTATAGTTACCAAATTCAATAAAAAATTGTTAAAATATTTAAATATTATTGTATAACATTATCTAAACGTACAAGTCCTCACATAAAAAAAAATTGTTCCTTACAGAATTATTCGGCTTAGTAAATTAGAATATAAGTTAATTTGTTATTTTGTCCAACAAAGATGAATGTGTAATATATATGTATATTTATATTAAGAGAAGATTTGCACGCCGTTTATGGTAAAATATGGAGGCGTAATAACCTATTAATGTAACATCTGTAATACCCATATTTGAGCAAATAAATTATATTATTATTATTATTATTATGTCCAACAAAGATGATTATTACAAATTTTCTTATATCGTTTCCAAAAAAAAAAAAAAAAGCAATATAATACTAAAGAAGTTAAAAATATTTTATAAAATCAAAAATATTTTCACAATGCAATATCTTGCGAAGTACATAGAGCGGAATATTGTTTGTAGAGAAAAAAAAATTAAACTGTTTTTTGTTGAAGATAGCAGGAGAAAAAAGCGACTGTAATCGCCATATAATATGGACCAACACACATACGTTATTAAATACAGAAAAAATGCTCAAGAATTTAATTTTAACAAAACCTGAGTTAAAAATGGTAGGAATATTATAATTTTATGCAACTTAGTATGGCAAACAAGCTGATGGCCCACCTGATGGAAAGTGGTAACCGTCGCCTAAAGACATGAACAGTACCATGGACAATACAGAGTATACTGTTTCGCCTAGGTACCTCCCGTATGCGTTGCCATTCCTGAGGACTCAGGTGTTATTCCTCTGTACCCTGTAAATTCACGCCATATCCCACCCTTCAAATCGAAACACTGGCATGCAAATACACCTGCAACTGTAACAGGGTACACCTGTAAATAATAATTATGTTCTATACCTATTAGTTGTATAACGAGTAGGTAAGTATAGCTTATATTTGTGAATCTCATCATCGGCTACATAATTAATGCATAGCACACTACCGCCACCATGTTTTGCATTGTGTTGCACTGATGACATTTTTGCATCAGTCGCCCGATTGATGTCGGACAAGTGATGTAACCGTGATGCAACTTTTGGCATAAATAGGTACGAGATTTATTCTAAGAGTATCAGAAAGACTCGTAATACTTTTGAGCATCTTCAAAAAGATTCTAAATTAGCCTCTATTTTTTAACCGACTTCAAAAAGAAGGAGTTTCTTAATTCGGTTGTTCATTTTTATGTTCATGAGGTAAATCTCATAACTCTGTTAACTGCAAAACGACAAACTTTTTTTTAAGAAAAAGGATAAACTTACATATTGGTCCCATATAAGTTTTATCAAAATTGGTTCAGTAATATAGTTTCCTGTTCTAATATGCTTTTTTAAGTCTAAAATTTGTTTGATATCTCTCATTGCCACAGTGCTTATAATATCATTATTATATCAGACTTTCGACTGCTAAATATAGGCTTCTTCCATTGGGGAATTTTGCCAGTAATTGCTACGCTTTTTTTTCTTTTTTTTTTATACAACTTTGAATGGCAAACTAGCTGACAGCCCACTTGATGGAAAGTGGTAACCGTCACCTATAGACATAAGCAGTACCATGGACATAACAGAGTATACTGTTTCTCCCATAATAC